TTTGTTAATTTAAAATGTTTATGTAGATAAAATTGAAAAATAAATAAATATGGGTAGCGTGAATTATTCAATACAGTTCATCAAATCATGATATAACTTCATTTTCAATAAAAGATATTCTATGTATAAACATTTGAATAGATTGACATTTGAATATATGTTTAAATTGCATACATGTTTGATTTCGTTATTCATAATGTAGTTTATGAGATGAGCAATGCTTTTCAAAGAGAATGGTCAATTGATCAATTATGTTCAAGATAGAGTGAGATGAAGCAAATTTTGGAGAGAAAAAAGAACAGTTTATCTTTTTCTATAAGAGAGAAAAAGAAGGAATGAATAAAGGAATAGCGGAACACAATCATAAGGAATACAGGGACACGGAAGGAATAAAGGAATGAGAGAATGGAGGAATAATAAGATGAGGGAATGAAGGAATAATGACCGATGGGGCGGAATACATTTTGAAATGCTCCCTAAAACCTTAATTCAGATTCAAAAATAGAAAATAAAAAATAAAAGAAACGAAAAAAGTATAAATTATAACAATTGATCAAAATTTATTGTAATTAGATTTTTATCTAAATTAAACTTTCTAGATGTTGAAGGAAAATCATCTGATCGCCAAAGATGCAATGCTTGTAAATTAGGCATATAAGTACTGAGAAAAGGTACAAGATTTTTGGCTATATGAATCGAGTCATCGGTTTAAAAATAAACGAAAAAGGTGTAATTAACTCGTTTTTGAAACAAATTCCAGCAACAACATCATCAGTCATGACTTTAAAGACGAGAGCGCAGTTTGTTTAGGTCTTACCAACTCTTATAATCTAATATTTATACAATATTTTCCTTACGAAAAAGCAAGCCTTAATATCTTTTCTTTTCAAGTAGAAAGAACACTAATAGTTCAAAGGTATCGCTCATGAGTACCTTTTATCTTTGTACACTCGTTACAGTGATTCACGTGGATATATTGTCATAAATGCCAGTGTATTCTTCTGTGTACGTTAGAAAACGACCATATTGCGGTATGGATATCAATGTAGCGTGTGTGCATTTCGTCGTATACGACATGACGCTATACGACCGTAATATTGTCTCCACCAAACAGGCAATTTATGGCACGTGTACGGTTGGCATAGTTATGACCCTAGATATTTATGTTTTCCTACTTGACAAAACTTCTATATTTACCAATTGATCTAAAATAGTAGATACTTTTAGATGTTTTTCATCATTTTTTTAGCGTTTTTAGAATAAAATGCATAAGAAGGTCTTTCGAACTGTATGTTACAGAATGAATTAAACTTTTCTTATGATGTAAGAAAATTTAACTTCAGTCTATTGAATTATTTATATAACTCAACCGAATTTTACTAAATGTTGCCATATATATGTTTTTCTTGTTTGTGTGCATTTTGTTTGCTTATCTTTAGATTTTTTTTTGCGTACTGAGGGATGTTTTTAAGATAAATATATTTAAGAAGCTAATTCAATCATATATGTCAATGAGCAGAGTGAATATTTCTGTAGGAGTTAGTAGGGATGGGGACCATTTGATGGTCTTTGCTGGTGATATATTTTTTCTAGGACTCGTCCAAAGTGGATGTTAATGAAGTTGAGTTATATGCAGTTTCGCAAAGTTGATTGTTAGTGTGGTCAGCATGTATTATGAATACCCATGTACAGGTGTCTAAGAGTGGGTGCAGAGTAAAACGACACTGGCAGCTACATCCACATCCATTCTAAACAAGAAGACTTGTGAGTTTTGTTGTTCATATATACTGGCGAATACTGTTGAAAAATAATCATTTTCTTTTGTGCTCTTCTTCCGTTTCTAATTTCACTTCGATTAATATTCAATGGGTGTGTTTTTGTCATTATCAAACTGATAGTATAGAAATATTATCTTCGGATATCTGTTTTGTCAAAACTGCTTATGTTAGATTCGATCTGTTGACAAATTTGGTATAGATTAAAACCGATACAAAAATTATAACTTCAGTAGGACAAAGTATGATGAAGTGTTCGCACTGAATATTGACAGTGGATTTATTTATGTAGTAAAACTTACTATAGCATATGTTATCAGGGATATGCCACATTTATATAGCTTACTTCTACCAAACTAATAAATTGCGTAGTATTTGTAGCCTATTATGATGATTTCTTTTGTATTATATATATTCTAACAATTCTAAAACGTCTGCTGGTAACATATATGATTAATTGGTTTATCTAATCTTCAATTGCTTACAATATAATGATAGAAAAAAATCTCAAGATATTTTACGTTGAATCTTTCTATCGGAAAAAAATCTTTACAAGTATTATCAATCTTTGATGTGTGAATGTATCGAATCTTAATTTTCAAGTAAAAACTAGTGTTTAATAATCTCACACCAGAATATTAGAAGTATATTTATTCTTCGGTGACTGCCGATGCGTAATCACTCATTTAGATAATATCTACGTATATAATTTATCATATATTCTCGAATGTTCTTTATCACCTTGCGATGCATTTAATGCACAATTTTTTGTTTTTTTTCTACTCATAACATATTTGCAAATCGTAATATACAGCGCATAGATTAATTTATTTATAGAATAGTAAGTAACTCGTTGTACATTTCTTTTGTCTTTAAAATCAACGAAGCGATTCAATTGTGCACTATTTATTGTTGTACTTTTTTTTTATTTTGCAATCTGATCAGAAGATATGATAGTATTATACGTTCTTATAGTCCTTTTTGCTAATTACAAACATATTATTAGTCAGTCATGGGATACATCCGATGGAATTCTTCCATGGGAATCATACATACAATTAAGTGATATACAACGACCACTTGGTCTTACAATTGATCGATCATCACTTGCACATCATCATTTTGCTATTGGATATTTTTGTTTTCATTCATTTATGTATGATGAAGCACAAGATGCATTTAGTCTAGCAATTAATACTACACCTATGTTCTTCGAAGCATACATTGGAAAAATGCTTACGTGCGTTTTAACATCACACCATTTATTTCATTTCATTATTATACATTTTTATTTTAACTAGATGTAAACATGCATTATGGTCATATACTGATTTTGATTGTGGCTTAGCAGCATATAATGCGATTATATCAATGTTGGAAACATATAATATGGCACTTTCATCGTTTCAATCATCATTACTTTCAACAGTTTATCAATGGTATGCAAATCAATCATCGATTACAGTTGGAGAACAAGCATTTTTATCATCGATAGCTAATTTATCAGAAACATATCCAAATGAAACTGATATACGTGTTTTATGGGGTCTTTCACTTCTTAATGTAGCTTTTGGAAGTGAATTTCAAGGTGAAATGGAACCTGCACCAATGATAAAAGCAAGAGAAGTATTGCAAACTGCTCTAACAACTGAATCAAATCATCCAGGTGCTCTTCATTATTTAATACATGCTTATGATGTTGCTCAGAGTAATATATCTGAAGAAGCAATAGATTATATATCAACTTATCAACAATTAGTTAATACATTATCCTATCCACAACATTTACTGAGTCATATTTGGATGCGTACAGGTAAATGCGATTTTTATAAAAGCTAAACATTTGAAAACAAAAACAAGTTGCATGACAATTGTATACTCTCTTATTTTTAATCATTAGGTTCATTGCTGTTAGCTAAATCGTCTGATGAAAGATCTATTCAAGTTAGTTTAACATTATGTTTGACTAAAATAATGGATCGCATTGCATCTAATATATCTTCAACTGAACTTGAACCAGTTTTGGCTCAATTTAATACAACAGATCAAGTATCATTGTTTCTAGACTGTGATGCTGACAATCGAGCTTATGCAACCGAATGGCTTTCATATTCTCGTTTACAAACCGGTGATTGGTTTGGTACATTATCTTTAATAAATGATCTGTATATTGCTTATAATCAATTATTAACACCATCAACTCAATATTTATTATTTCCATATCGAGCTCTTGCGCGTACTGCTGTCAATCTTTTCTATTGGTTACCATACGATATTCGAATCATTAATAAAATACAAGAATTAGAGACAGTCGCTGAAAAGCTTCCGTTTGTTACATTCGATGAAGGTAGCACAGATGTAGATCTAGCTTGGAGTGAAGCCGGATATCGTTTCAGTAAGTTTTAAATTATTCTAAATTCTTACCAAGTTTAATATTCTTTTTAGGTGATTGTCTTCGAGTATTCGTTTTCAATGATACGAATAATAATCAGTCAACTAAAGAATTCATAAGAGATCAACATTTTGCTCGTTTTGCTATACTTTCTAATCTAGTTGCTTCATTAAATCAATATATATCAACAAGTATATCAATGATGATATCTCAAATTCAAGGAATTATTTATTTTAAAAATAATTCATTTCAAGATTGTTTAAATATATTAAATGAAGCTACTCAACGTGAATTTAATCTTGTTATTGATAATAATAGTCCGATTTTGATTTTTGCACGTTCATCCGAATTATTAGCTATGCATTTATTACTTATTCATCGAATATATCAAAATCAATTGGTAAATCTAAACTTAAATTTTATTTTGAACTATATCAAACTAAAATTTCTTTTAAGGGACAAGCTAATACTTCTACATTTATGTTAAATGGTGCACAAGTACTTATAAGTGAATTTCCACGATATGCATTGAATCTTTATCAATCAGAAGATCTATCAGCACCTAATCGAACAATAAATATACTTGGTATGGCTCGAGCTAATGCTCAACTTCATAATAATGATGAAGCAATAAAATTCTATCGAAAACTACTTACTCAAATAAATTTTTCGAATACTACTGATCCATTATTTTCTCAAGAAGCAACTGATTTTATTACTCAAGCAGAAAATACGAAAAATTCTGCTAACACTAATCAATTGTGTTTTTTATTAATCTTAATTGTTTTTATGTATTTGGTTTTTCATTAATTAATCCATAAAATTTCTGCAATCTTAAATGCTTTTAAATAGTCATCGAGACTAGGAAATGTCAGCGTCTACCTTCATCCGTTCTCCTACTTTCATCTACAGCACAATTCGCTCAGTTTCATGATAGGAAGTAAAGTGGGATTTATAGAAAATGAGATTTTCAATTGTATAAGATATCTATATATTTTTGCGTGCAGTGTTTAATGAATTATGAACGGCACTATATATGCGAATGTATATATTCAACAAATGTAAACATACTCTTTGAAGGTCCATATTGAATCACTTTAAGATTTGTCTCTAATAAAATAACTGATATCTTCATCAGATTTTAATTTTAAACTTCTTCACTTGATATTTGCGAAATTTGATCATGTACGAAAAACAAACAGATTTATCGTCACATTCTTTTTTATAAGATTTATTCAAGATTCAAATGAAATAAATATTATTTGCCAAAAATAATCGAAAAAATCATTAATAAACAATAAATAAATTAAGTTAATATAGAATCTATCTATTTCTATTGAAACTATGATTAATAAAATTTGTTCAAGATCATATATTAATTCGTTTGAATAGCACATTTTAAGAAAACTGATTGAAGATAAGTCGTAACAATAAGTGGTGATTGTCCATTAGTAATATCATGTTCACCAGCATAAAAAAATTTCTTTAGATTGTTTAAAAGATAATTATCAAGAAAAATGTTTGATCAGTTGGTCTGTATGTTTATAATTAATCTGACCATTGTTCAACATCTCATTATTCACGTATGAAAAGAAGTCCTGTTGGAAGATTGCATAGTCATCATTATAGAAAAGATTTTTCTTGAAAGTGATGATTGAATTCACTTTGACCATAGACAATCGTCACGGCAAGGAATAATACTAGTTAATGTTGTTACTTATCTATTTAGATTCAGTAGTATAAGCAGCAAAAGATCAACACTACGTATTGAGTATGAGAAATAAAATATGAAATATAAAATTTATTGACGAAGCGACAGTCTCTATCAGTTTTCATAAAAACTGTAGTCCAAGTTTCGATATTATCGCAGTCTTATATAAAATCTTGTTTGAAAATAACAACCTGAAATTACAGAAAAGTATTACAATGTTTTGCTTTGAATGAGTTTCCCTTGAAAGTGATAAACTTATTGTAATGAATTCATAAATCGATACACTGTTTAACAGATACTGCACGAAACGATATTACAAGTTTGTTTTTCTTTATGAGTCATTGCCTTTCTTGATCTGTTTATGGCTAATACATCTATTCATAATTATTCGAATGACCAATTCAAAAATACCTGCATCTTTTACGCATACTTGTGACTTTTCTGTTGATGTAGAAGGAAAAAAATCCACTCTACCGGAAATAGAAAGAGAACAAAAAACGTCATTCAAAACTTACACACCATAATAAACATCTTTTTTTGTCATCGAGAGAAAAAATAAATGAACCCCACGCCGTTTGAACAACATTGTACCATTCCTTACGTATTTTCACTATCATTATTTACAGGTAGATGTCACTCTCACAACTTGAATCACTTCCAAACGAAATATTAATTGATATTATTGAGAAATATATTAATGTAGTGGATCTACTAAGAGCTTTTATCTTTCAATTCAATCGACGATTTGATGTGCTCATTACTCAATGTCGACGACTTCGTTTTGATTTTATTCAATGTCAAAAAGATGATTTTCGTTTTGTAGGGGTCTTTTACCAGCCTATCTTGACAAAATAGAAGAATTATCCATATCAGAACAAGACACACCTGGTCAGATTTATGCTTTTCTATCTTTTTTCCCATCGTTTGCATTATTTAAAAGACTTCAGAAACTTTATTTTCATTTTAATGATGTAAGTATCAACTGAAGAATTGTTGAAAGGGCGCTTAATTCGTTATCACAAACAACTATTGACACTTTATCGATCCAAGCAATGGACAGAGAGGATAGACGATCTTCATTGAGAAATGTTATTGTCAATCTGTTTCGTTTGAAATCCCTTAAACGCTTCTCTCTTATGAGTTATTTGAGTTCTATAAACTGAAGTGATTTGGCTAACGTCTCGTCAAACATTAAACATTTGACTGTTTTTGGTGTATACTGTAAGTTTGAAGATCTAGAATATATTTTCAAGTGCGCTCCTCATCTTAAATATCTTAATATTCTATTACTCAATGAATACTTTTTTCGTGATGAAACAAAAAAAATCTTCAAAAAAAATAATACTAATGTCTGCACTTCGCGCACTAGTCTTATATTTTGTACCATGTAGTTCAATAGCAATGGACATGTTAGAACAATATTTTAATTCAATGCCTGTTCTAAATCGTCTCGAAGTTATAGCATACAGTAAACTTCCTGATGCAAACGCTTGGCAGACATTGTTGTAAATATCGTTACCATTACTGACTCATTTTAGTCTTCGAACGACTATATTTCGTGTAGAAAAAGCTAGTCTCCAAAATGTTCTTGTTTCATTTCAGAGTTCATATTGGATAACGAAAAATAACTTCAATATAATAATAACCAAACATGACTATTCGGGTTTTAATGGTTTCGGCATAGATAATATGAAGCATCATCTTTGGCAAGAATTGCATCGGTCCGTTATTCAATGCTGGATAGCACTCGACAGAATTGTTAACAATGATCTTATGATGATCAATAAAAACAAAAATTTGAAGCTTATTGACAATGTGAAATGTCTTATAGTGGATAATATGAATAGTTCGGTATTCAAATGGGTAAAAACGCATGTAAACTGTTCTCAAATCAGGCAACTCATTATCAACATTAGCTGAATTATTGGCATGTCTGACAAATATGACTTTCTTTATATAAGCTTCGATGTGCTTTTTGCAAATATATATCCTTTGATGAGAAAAAGTAATTGTGTAAAACATCTTGACATATCTCTTTCTGAGCATCTATTGGACGAAGTGGAAATTTTTTTTTATTGCTAAAGGCTTTCCTTACGTGAAACATTTAAGAATCAATACATCATATTTGTGGAATGTTCCAGTGTTGAAGAAATATTTGGTACATCTACGTAGTCTTTCTTTCAAAATCGTAAACAATGGTCGAAATCTTTTTGGCAATTATGAAACCAAAAATGGGAATATGAACTACGACGGCAAACTAAACTTTTGTTCCACGTGAATGATAATACAGTGATGGTATGGCGTGACCAAGCTGCATTCGAAGAACCTTTCTGACGAACATTTGTCGTGAAATCGTCGCAATCAATGGCTATATGGATCCGTACTTTAAATTCTAATAAGTTAATAATCACCGAAGCTTCTGTTTCTCAGAAAAAGTAAAAGTTCAAATTCTCTTTTTAAAATTTGTTCAAATACCAACATAGAGAAAATATCTGTTTTTTTTGTGAGATGCTTGATTATATATACAAGGACGTAATCTTATGACCGTAGTTGATTTTGTTTTGCTAGATGTACTTTAATCATGACCGGATTTATTATTCTTGAAATTGTGATCTCCAACTAATAGACCTGCAACATTTTCTTGACTAAAATCGAATCATTACATTTCTGCTTAAACTAATACAAAACCTACATATAAACGATTCCTTCTTTGCTTGACTCATTGTCAACGATTTGTGCATATTGTTATGCGTAAAAATTAGTTTTTGGAACTTAGCATATTGTCATTAGGCTATGAATGTTCACATAATAGGATTTTATTCTTATTGATGATTTGGTTATGTTGAAGTTGATGTTGTCAAGAATTATTTTAGTAAGAAATAATGAAAAAACAAGTTGATAAACCAATAATACTTGCTGAACGATTAATAATGTTCTTTATTCAAAAAGAAAACTTAAACCTCGAAATACCAGTTTCTTGGTTTCATGAAGATACATTGAGTTTAAACGTAATTGAAATATTATAATGGAAATGTCGCCTTCACTATATATGAGTTCATTGCATGAATTGTTAATTTTTCTCAATAATTTGATCAAGCCACGCAGAGTTCGTTTGTTTATAACTTCGAATATCGATACATCTGTTTTTATTTTTCGTCGATATTAATTATCAGCGTGTGTTTCAACTGTGTAAACCACCAAGGGACATATCCGGTTAGATGCATGGAAACGAACGTTCCTGCCAAAGATAACTCATACGAGAAAGATAAACTTCATTTGTTCAACATTCATCCGAAGTTACATTCAGCAAGTTGGATTAGTCAGTATTATAAATGATAGACTTGTAGAATTTGAGAGAAAAGATTATTAGATGATCATTTATATCGAAGAGCCTCAAATGACGAGCTCATAGGTCTTGTTTAACAAAGTTTTGACTAATTTTGTGATATTTGACTAAAAAGAGAAAGAAAGTCAATCATAATATTATTATTGTATAATACAATATTTTTTCTCTTGATAATAGAAAAAATAGGAGAAGTTGAACTTACTAAAGTGCCTGCTTTGAAGAATAAGTTGTATAGAAAATCTTCAAGTCGATAAATTCATTGATATGTGCTCTTATGAAACTCTTTTCTATTTGATTAGCAATGACTTCGTCCGATCGCTTATTACAGATAGCAGTTTGGATCATAAAATCATTTACGAAATCCGACATGAAACAGTGTGTAAAGCATTTGCATCTCGATCATAAAAGATGTTATATTGCATGTTATTGAATAAGATAGTACACGTATCTTGCTTGATAATTGATCAAACAACGAGACATCAAACAAGAATGAAGCTAGATTTGCATGACAGTATTTTCATGATTATGATATTGGTCCATGAATTCTTGAAATGCATCGCATAAGAATAATCTCATGATCTGTTTCGGCAAATGAAAGTTCATAAAAACATGTTGACTTTGTCAAACGCCGTGTTACCTAACCTAGGAGAAACCAAGTCGTTCATAAATCTTGGCACCGTAGGCATGGGCAACGCAAATTCAACTTTGCAGGGAAAACAATTAAATTTTAAATGACTCCAATTAGTCCTCCCG